GTTTATTATGCACTGGTCTATCCATATCTGATTTATGGGAACCTAATCTGGGGTAATACGTATAAAACTAGAATTCAAAAGATAATGAATATACAAAAGAAAATTATGCGCATAATGACTTTTAGGTCATACTCTGAACACACTGAAACTATTTTCAAACATTTAGAAATACTAAACATTTTTCAAGTGAATGACTTTTTAACCAGTTTATTCATGTTTCGATATTTTAACTTAAAAAATTTACCCGAAGCATTCACCAACTATTTCACACTTAATAATGATGTTCATCAACACAATACAAGGAAAAAATCACAGCTTCATAAATCTTATAAAAGAACCAATTATGTAAAACATACTCTTTCAAACAAGGGAGTTGATATTTGGAATGGTTTAGAAAAAAAATATAAAAATATTAGATGCCTTCAATCTTTTAAAAAAATAATTAAAAAGCACCTCTTACAAAACTGCAGTACTTAATCTTAGACTTAATAGACTAAACTCCAATTTCATGTATTTTGAACTTTTTGAAGTTTCTATACGTATACATTGCAACTATATATATGTATACATATGCATGTATATATGTGTGTGTATATGCGTATATTATATATATGTTAACATGTACTATGTAGTGGTTATACATGTATAATTTACGTTGCTACTATGTATAATCAATTGAACAATCAACTTTGTATATAAGATTATAGACTACAGTTATTAATTGTTTTGTTTTGAAAGTTTTGAAGTGCCAAAAACTATAAATAGTTAATCCTAATCTAGGGGCCTTAATAAAAAGCCTGTCAAGGTTTCTAGTAGGCTCCTAGCCCTTATAATAATATAATATTGTAAATAGCTTAATATATATTTTACATCTTTTTGGGGGGCAAATTAAAATAAATAAAAATAAATAATTAATTGTTCCAATCCGACAAAGGATGCATACAACAACAATCATCGGAAAATATTTAAATTAAATTAATTAATTAAACAACTTTTTATTGGTGTTAAATCATTGCGGTTTTTATAGCATACAGAGAAGTGGGAGGTTAATGATAAACTAAACTAAGTATTACCACCAGCAGCATTTATGAGCTGCATGGCCAGGCAAAGAACGACTGGCTGCAGCACGGATTAATGACCTATATATGATTGCATAGCAGCTGGCGAGAAGACAGATAATTATATAAAAATGGAAACGGACTCAATAATTGTTTTCTAACGTTATTACTTGACATTAGGGTCTGATGCATGCATGTACTCTGAGAATAGATCGTACTTGGCAACGGAAACTTCCATTTTGCGGGCTGCCAATAAAAACTACATAATTTACTACTTATTTACAATGGATTATATTGTCGGCCTCGATTTCCAGCTCCAGCTGTTGTTTCATGCATGCGCACTCGACCAAATGCGGGAAGTGTTTATTGTTATGAAATTCATTCATGCTATCATTTGAATACGGCTATCAAAATGGTTTGCCATGCAGTATTTTCATTATTTGACCGGATGTTAAATCCCAGGCATGCATTATTCGCCTATTAAATTAAATTCATTTATTAATTCGTTTTATTGATTCAATGTGTAGTAACCTTCAAAAACTCATTACTAATTCATGAGGAAAACACGAAGAAAAATCGTAAGTGTGTCGTATCTCTATATGTGATAGAGATTTCCCTTGATTTACATAAACTTTAATTTTGATTTTCTCGATTTACACAACGCAACGTTGAAAATTACTTCGCCAATGAAATTACCATAGATCGATCGTTTTTGAAGCAACTTAAAACATTTGCAGTGCGTGGTTTATAGTCAGACCTAAAGATACTCTGCTTCGCCTCGTGTTTTAAATAGTACATTAGCACATGTCAGTGATGTGTTTGCCCCAGATAGCCGTGGAATTAATATCACGTATTTATAGGTAATACGTCAAATTCAAAGTCTTCAATCAGATAGCCCGCGAACAGGCTCTCTTTGAACTCTCTAATTCAATTCAAAGAGCCCGCAGGCTACCAATCAGAAAGCTAATTAGTTTGTGCCACCTGAGCATGAAATTTATCATCGAATCGCGCCTTACTGCGTCATTGTATTTGACGTAAGCGGGTGACTTGAATCATATCACATGGCGATTTGATCATGTCACCCGGGTCACCGGGCGACATAATTCGCGTAAACCGCGCGCGGCAATCACGCAAACAAGATGCCCAACAAAATATACTGAGGATGATGAATTATTAATTTTTTAAACTTAGAAAAACCTCGTTTTTTCAAACGATATGTGATTTGAAAGAAAAGCGACGTACGATACTTGCGTTAATCCAAAAATGAAACATATTCACGACGGTTTGTGCCAAGGTATGTGGCAAGTTTCAACATTCTCACTGGAGGCTTTTAATTTTCGGTACTATAATATATCATTTATAGACCCGGGCCTCCGCTCGGGGGATTCGGCGAAATATTACCCTCAGTGATGATATTTCCCTCGTATCTATCGGGCCAAAACAGGCAAAACTCCTCGGGACTATGATCACTTCGGGTAATATTTCGCCGAATCCCCCTCGCTTCACTTCAGGTCTATAAAGTCTATAAATGATAGATGTTACTGAGAAAGCACTGAAATAAAACCTGTGTTTGCGTCAGGTTGTGCCTTTGTGGTAATCTTCAACTACATATGAAAAAACATAAGTTTTTATAGGTTTTTTGCTTCCGTTACCGAGCGCTATGATGCGAAATGTCGCCAATCAGTTTTTTCGTGTGACGTCGGTGTTGACAAAAAGTTGCTTGCTTTTGCTCACTATTGTTTCCGGTCCGCTTGTCATATCATCAAATTTTACAGTTTCGGAGCACTTTAAATTACGATTCTGTGACAAAATATGATTAAAACTGTAAAGGGGAGACGTTTTGCCGGTTTTGCCTTTTGGGCAGACACTATATACTTCCGAAAGGCATAATTATGTTGACTTCGTGAGTGAAGTGACTCCGGTAACGTGTAAATGAGGGCCTTAATAGTCGGGATATTTATGGCCATACAGGAAAAATTTCCATTCTATGCAGATACTAGCGTTCACACTTCAAGTTATAATAATCTAGACATCGTAGTATACATTACTTTGAATCCTCAGTCACACAGACATGTCTGTTGACAACTGTTCGCATGTAGCAAATTTATTATGCATAAACAACTTTTCTATCAAATATTATTTGCAATCATTATAAACATAACAAAGTCAAACCTTACCTTAAAACTTTATCAAAGAATTCCGATGTTGTTTCACATATATACTATCTTAATGGATAGCAACAGACTAGTAAATTACCAAGCTTTATATTTTCATTTTCAATACACGATTTTGCAAACTCCGAAGGGAAATAACCGGAAGTTCGAACTCCGGGAATTCCCAAATTGAACGTCATTTCGAAGTTATTTCAGTTCTAAGTAATCTGATTCCGAAGCAACCCGATTCTAAATAAATCTGACCTCTAAAATTTATCCATAATAAATACGAAACCAAAGACAACTCGATTCATTTTCGATATGCGATTTTGCAAACTCATTGTCGCTTCGAGTTCCGGGTAATTCCCGTCTGAAGTTTTTTTAAATAAAAACGTCATATATCTTAGATTTTACTAAGTTACCTGATTTCTCATAGTCTGCTCGCAGACTGCATCCCGCTCCCCCGCGGGACAGTACTAGATTTCTCAGTAACTCAATTAATTTCTAAGTAACCCAATTCTGAGTGAATATCACTGCTCCTAGATTCATCCCTCATGAAAAAATCCTTAACATTGATAGAAAGCGCTGGTTGATTTTGAATTTGTAATCCACTCCATCAACTGAGAGCAATAAACTGCTCGTGTATAGTTATAAAGATGTTATTCGCCGAAGGCGAGGTGTATACGCTGTATAAAAACCGAGACGAAGTCGAGGTTTTCAACTTTTTATTTAGCGATACCGATATTCATCTAGCCCGAGGCGAATAATTAGCCGTTTTCACATTATAAGACGGACAAGTCGTCTAGACGAACAAATCGTCTCAAAATCGTCTTTTAGTCGACAAATCATCAGATGTGAAAACGTGTCGGACAAAATTTTAGACGAACAAGTCGTCTGAATTTGTTCGACTACTTGACAGTACTTGTCCGTCTGTGAAGACGATTTTTGAGGGACGCGGATTTGTTCGTCTAGACGACTTGTCCCAGCCTAGACCTAGGCCTTCTATTTTTATTTATATTTTTTTAATATTCAGCGCTTTTTCACATGAAAAGACTGGGACTAGGTAATTTGGGGGCGTGGCCGAGGAAGGACACAAGCCTGACGCAAGCGAAAAAATAGAAGGCCTAGTGGCACAGAATAAGGCACACAGAAGGGCCACTTACGTCGGAAGCTTTGAAGTTTCTGTCACCCTGGCCGCCATCTTCCTAGCCAGTCGATTACATTTTCTGGCCAATGAACGCGCTGTATTGGCTGGCCGCCATCTTCCTAGCCAGTCAATTTGCATGTTTTTGCATAGAAAAATGGGGACACGTTGCACCGCTGAGTGGCCCTTCTGGTACTGATCTTTATTCTGTGCTAGTGGTTAGTGGATTTCCCAACAACAAGGCCAAAACTGCCCTGAAACTGCCCTGATTGCGAAATGCCCAATTGTTGCGTTCTCAAACAGGATTATTTGCAACTTAACAGCGAATTTAAACCGATACAGGTAAAATAAACTCATTTATAGTATTATAAACTTACTATTTTTATTTGTATACACGTCTAGAAAATCGGGGTTTTTATCATAAAGTTTGAAGCAACACTATTTATATATGTTGACAAGGTGTAGCGAAACGGCACAAAACTAATAATTCTTTTATTCGCAAGACAATCTACTGTTTTGCTTTGAATAACTATATTTGCGAATTGGGAATGAGGAATTTGAAATTATAGTGTTCAAATATTGCAGATATACCATTTGTATAAACAATGTACGTTTTTATATACAGTACTGTACGGGCTAATAATATATGTATCCGTTTTATTTTGTATATTTTACAAACACAAGACTGCTTCTTGCCAAAATTGAGAAAATATATATTAATGTACTTGTCTATAAGACATGAAAGATTCTACTTTTGGTATATATTTTGACTCATTTTGTTCTTTCGCTACACCTTGTCAACATATTAAAATAATAGTGTTGCTTCGAACTTTATGATAAAAAACCGATTTTCTAGACGTGTATACAAATAAAAATAGTAAGTTTATACTATAAATGAGTTTATTTTACCTGTATCGGTTTAAATTCGCCGTTAAGTTGCAAATAATTCTGTTTGAGAACGCAATAATTGGGCATTTCGCAACCAGGGCAGTTTCAGGGCAGTTTTGGCCCGTGTTGTTGGGAAATCCACTAGGCCTTCTAGGCTTGCTTCCTCCGCCCCGCCCCCAAATCACCTAGTCCCAGTCTTTTCATGTGAAAAAGCGCTGAATATTAAAAAATATAAATAAGACTAGAAGGCCTAGGTCTAGGCTGGACTTGTGAGTTGTCCGTCTCTAATGTGAATATAGCACTATTGTTTTAGTATAATTACAAAAGGTGATTATTTGAAAAAAAAAAATATAATACATCTCAATTTTTAAAAAATGTGACTTTAGCCGTTTTGGTGTCTATCCAGAGCCGCTCGTATCGCCATCAAGGATGCTTTTTGTAGTAATTTCCATCACCTTTTCTTACAGAAAGTAGAATCTTGATGATAAACATTTGTTCATGCATTTCATCAATATTCATGTCTTCAAACTCATTTGTGAATTCTCACTGACTGCATGTTGTTGAAACCAATCTGTTGTAGAAAATACATTTTCAGTACAAACGTAAACAAACGTCTATAGACAATTGTACGGCAATTTATAAAATAAAACGATGTTTTATGCGAAATAAAGTTAAGCAGAATTCTGCAACGTAGATTCCTACGTCCAAATAATTTTAAGCCAAATTTTGTCGCTTCTTTCGTGCTTTTAGGTACTGCATTTCTTTAAAATTACTTATTTCTTCATCTGTCACTTTGACAAAACGACTCGCCGCCATTTTGAAAAAAAAAACGCTTATAGGTGATTACGCGTAATAGTCCGAGGTCGCTTGACCAATCATCGACCAGAATTTTCGATAACCACCTTTGTAATTATACTAATAGTCATTAAAGACCAATATTTTATTTATTTTATTTACTAATTCGCCCAAATTACATAATACTAGAAGTTACTATCGCAAGGAAAATGCTGCCTCAACCCCAAGGGATTAAAGGCAGCATGCACAATTTGCTGAATAAGGGGCTGTTTATATGATCCCGCTTTGCCAGGAGATATGAGGCAGGATGATTTTGATGTGCTTAAATAAGTCACGATGCATGATTCAGCAAAAAATTTCACTATTTTCTAGAGATGGATTACAGTATGGTTAGTAACTGTATTAAACAAAAAGGTTGCCTGTTCAAACATAATATAACCTTCTTGAACTACAAGATTTTCTCTACATTTGAACTACTTCTCTACATTTGAGCGTTTGAACTTCATTTAGCCTAGTGACTAATATTTTAATACATCAAAATCATCCCTTCTTCCATGACATGCAAACAGCCCTTAAGACGCCTGTTCAGGAGGTAGGAAAAGTGCAATTTGAATATCAAAAATCTTGCACAAAGTGGAAGGGCGGCTGAAAGTTCTAATTCCACTTTCTTGGCATGGGCGGTTTTATATGAATATCTTCAATGCTTATAACGTCTTGCTGTTGTATAATTATAATACTGTCAGTGGTGAAGCTAGTCATAGCAACACTAGGTCATGCTATGCAAGTTTTTAATGATTTGCATTATTCAAATAGATGCAGGTTTATCGGCAGTATAGCATGCATACAGTATGGCCAGTTGCCATGGCTAGCTTGCCGCTGAATACCGATACAATGTTTAAATGTACAGGTTTGAATATTTTGCAGTAAACTATTATATATTTTATCGCCATGCAAACATACAAAGTCAAAGAATTTATTATGTACAATGTTTATATAAAAATACTAAGGGCCTGTTTACATGGAGGCGAGTTACATGGAGGCGAGTAACTCGCCTTGGCGAGTTCCCGGCAGGAAGAGGCGGGATCTCGGCTAGGCCAGATGAATACTTTCCATGTAAACACTTTGCCCAGGTAACTCGGCCACCCGAGATAGAATGTAATATGTGCTTTGCCATTGCAATATAATAGCTCAAAAATACAAACGAATCGATAGATAAGTTTTCCTGAATTGCTCGGCGCTTATTCTTGCACTTTCACTATATTTTGTAATGTTTTTAGTGTTTCAAACGACTTAAATCCGTCATGCAGCAATCATGCGACAAATGCCAAGTAACTTGGTTCCATATAAACAGAGCGCTTGTTTGTCCCGCCTGGGCAACTGTAACTCGCCTTGCCGGGTAACTCGCCTCCATGTAAACAGGCCCTAAGTTGGGGTTTGTTCCAATTATTGTTTTAATGCCACCTTCAAGGCTAGCACTGACAATGACAACAGAACAATATCAATATGCTGATGGGGAGACAATATCTATTTGTTGACATTTCTTATTGTGAACATAATTTATCGAAAAATATAATACACTGTAAAATGTAGTGGCACAGCCAGATGAATATATTATATAATTTATGAATGTAGGCTGGTAGGATTATTTCATATTATGCTAACAATAAACACACAGTCATAAAAAATCAGTTGACATACTATTAGTCTATTACATGTAATCATATTGGGCCATTCCATTTAATGTACACCCCCCCCCCCCCC